ACACATGAGGTAAAGATTTATGTTAAACTGGTTCAGACTGCACCCAGACTAGTTAAAGTTAATATTGTAATCCTGTTCTGCTGCTTAGTAGATATGTGACCTCGGGAGTGATTCTAGGCCCAAATTTCCTCTTCAGGATGCAGCTAACAATAGAATCTCACCTCTGGAAATATTGTGATGATTGACTGGGAAGACTTTGTTTCCTTTGCATGGCAACCCGAGACCTACCTGTCCTTCAAGATGTAGAGAAAATTGGCTTAACCCTTGGTCATTTTTATAATTTACAAAAGCACGAGGGCTTTCTTTAAACCTCTGCGATGCCCTATGAATGTAAGTTCTGGGGTTCCTAAGCTCCCCTCTTCTGCATGCAGCTGAGCTGCCTCTATTCTGCGCTGCACTGAATCCAGTGAGGAGCTCTCTTATTTCTGTGGCTTCTTAAAGATCTTCTAAAAATGTCAAAATATAATTACAAACCAAAATCAAAATATCACTCCATGCAAATCTTCAGGAAGCTGAAGGTGAGACTGTACTATATCAGCAAATTTCAACAACACTGGAGGGATTTGTCAATGACTCTCTTCCTATACTCTCTGGGAGTCTTGAGACTTTCTCTGTGTCATTATTCCTCATTACTTCCCATTACTCCCATCAACTATTCACTTTTGGGAGTCCAGTTTCCATGGTGGGTTATACAGATGACCTTTTTTCCTCTGAAGTCTGGAAGATTCTCAGTGGGGTCTGTTTTTCTCCTAATTACCACCAAGATACTCCTTCACAGGAAGACAATTCTAAGAGGAATTCAGTAGCAACTATTTAAATGATAACGTTTTGGTTATCCTATGGCACTTGCAAAACACTTGAGTAAGCCAATCTAGCTATATCAGTAAAAGAAAAATGAGTGTCCTGTTCTCATCCCAGCCTGGACTCTGGCAGCAATGCTAAAGATTTGGAGCATTACTTGAGTCCATTTTACCTCGTGGTGGTGGACCAGAGTGTGGGTACCCACTCCTCAACTTTCTTCCCACACTCTGGTCATCCTTTCTTTCCAGTTTCCGACTCAGCATCTACTTTCTGGATGTCTGTTGGCATCTCAGAGTAACACCATTTATCTTTCAATAGAGTAGGTCATTCTTTATGCTATGTTATGTCAGTGTTCTGGATTGTTCTCTGGGGTCATAGCATAGGCTAAAGAGGTTGATGGTAGGGGGAACAATGACAAGAATGATTAATTTTTCTTACCTTAGGATAAATATCAGGTATTTTTGATTTCTTCTACTCCAAAGTAACTGTTAACCAATTCCAAACCCAAAAAGCGATTAGAAGACGTACTATGTCATAACCTTTATTTTTGTGAGTTTCACACAATCTGGAGTGATCCCTGGGTAAATGCCATTCTGATTCCATTAAGGTTAAATTTCAAACAGACAGTAAAGGGCAAAGTAAGAGCTGAAAGTAATTACAGAGAACAGTGCACATCTGCTCCACCAGAGTGTCCATCTTGCTGTTGATGCTGAAATGGATTAATCCTTACTCAGAATTGGCTGAGCAGCTTGAATGGTAGGATACTATTAAATGACAAAATGAGCCCATTTTGGAATGAAAGCTAAAAATTAAGGTGTCTAAAATAAATGACCCTAATAACAGTGCAATACTTCTCTGGAATCAGCTGACTTTCTCTTGCTGAGAACACAAAATGCTGACCTTTAGCCTAACCCAAAACTTCTAATGTAAGTAACTGGGATATTGAACAAATGATATATGATTCATTAAATGTAGAAGTTTCACCTTCATGCTTAGTTCACTTTGTAGGAGTAAGTTGTGATTTTAAGGCAATTTACAGTCCTTCAAGCTTTTGGAGAAACACTGAGTTAGTGTTGGTGTCTGGTTTTTGTGTCTATTGATAACAGGGGGCGAACATTTTAGGTGATTTATCTACTGTATTAGCCTTATGGATATCACCATTGAAAGCTTCAATACCTTTTTCTCAATCAAGTGTTCAGAGCTGAATTTTTGGGTCTTGTATTAATAGATCCAGATGTTGGAGCCTAGTCATAGGAGTGCGGAACGTGCTATACTAGAGATACCACCTAATTGAGTTTATGATAATCTCGCACAAGTCTTGAAGACCCATATTTCCGTATAAATACAAGCTGAAACTTTTTAATGTGCATCGTTAAGTGCCTCCCTGACTCTTGGGGATAATACAATATTCTCTGAGTGCTTCCTTGCTTCCTCCCACGGACATTGCGGAACCAAACATATTAATGTCTACCAATCATATAAATTAGGTAGTTTTTTTACAATGACAGAAATAATTTATATCTATTGCCATTTAAATAGTTCTTACATTATAGTTTTGAAGTTCTGCCTGTGATAATGGGTTATAGGAAATAATAATGTCTCTGGGAAAGCTATATCAAGGCAATTCTGTTTATAATAATGGAAGATGGTCCTTGGGGAGCCCCTACACACTGGTGTCCTAGATAGGTACATATTACCACCTGCCCAGGCAACTCTTTCATGCCCCTGCCTGGTGGGACAGGCTGTCTGAAGTCCAGGATCTCAGGATCCAAGGTCTATTGCTTCTCTGACCACACCTCTCCCTCACTGGCTCTGTATACATATGCTTTTATTTGCAGGTGAGAGACTCGCTAGGCAAACATGAGATACTCTTAAGCCACTCTCGTGGCCTCACTGCCCTGCCATGGTGCCGCATGTCTGAATGCTGTTGACCCTTTCCATGCTCTCTGCTTTTCTGTCTTGACCATGACCTCAGAGACCACTCTTGCTTTCTGGTCAGCCCATCACCCTCCCAATTTTATCACTAGGCATTGACTGAGTTCTTATTAATAGTTTCTCTTGGCTTCTAAGTCCTTCATGAGGCAGGGGCAGTTTCTAGTTGGTTCTGTGAAATATTCCATGTAGTTAGACCCTCTCCTGAAATTCTTTCACTGTCCCCAGGACTCTCCTAGGGGACAGTAGCTACAGTGGCTGTCACCACATGATTGGATCTATGATACTTCACCATCAATCTCAGGGACACATGCCTATGTTCAGGTAGGTGAGTTAAAGGGGTCCTGATATGAATCAACACCCTTGCACCTTACAAGTTACTAATAGTGACAGTCATAGTTTTCCCAGAAATTTGGTACCTTCAGGTGATTATCCTATTAGGGAAGGACAGTTATTGCCTGGCTCCATAAGTCTCTACTCCAACTAGCTCCTAATGGCAGACAATCCTTAGACATCTGAGGGCTGGCTCAGAGCCAGTGCCCCATAATCCTTAAAAAGGCTTTGGTATGCCCTCTTCCCCTTCTTCCTATGCATAGTCACGGTGGTAAATGGCTGCAGGTCCTTGGGGAAGGCCAGAAGGAGGATCTACTGCATAAATCTGTGGTGGTATTTTAGGGTCCTCCTAAATAAGAAGCCTGGCTGAAAATTTGGGGGGAGGAGAGCCTGTAAGTTGCAGGGCCTCTATACGATCTCTATTTACCATACCTAGAAATCTGTATGTATATAGACCAGGTAAGATTTAGTAGGCTGCCTATTTATTTCATCCCTGGAGACCCCATGATCACTACCAGGAATGCTTGCAGATCCTGATTATTGCTCCAGTCCACTGGCCCCTCAGTGCCCAGCCCCCTCACTCTGGCTATTAAGTGCTTTCTGCTTTGTAGGATCCCATCTTCCAGTGATGGTAGGAGCTCCTTTTAGGGGCAGCCTCTCTCCTATTGTCACCAGTTGTCAGGAGGCAGTTAGTACAGAGCTTGATACCTGCCAGTGCACCCCAGAAATGCACTTTGGGATGCCTTGGAGAAGGAAACATCCTTTGGGACAGCCTAGGTGCTGTGGTCAGGAGTAGTGACTGGTTCCCCATGATCCACTCACTCTGACACCTTCGTCACCTATGCTCCCAAATTCCTCTCTATCAAGATTTCTCAGACTTGGCACTACTGATATCTTGGGCCAAATAATCCTTTGTAGTGAAGGGCTGGCCTCTCCCCAGGGGGTTTCAGTAGTTCTTCCCTCCCATTTTGGACAATCAAAAATGTCTCCTCGTATTGATAAATGTCTCATGGGGGGAGCGGGGGCAAAACTCTCCCCAGTTGAGAAGTACCGTTTTATAATATAGAAGAAAATTGTGGTGCAATCCAGATTTCAGACAAAGAAAACTGTCCTAGTAAACTGTTGCAAACAACCTGAATGTTCAAGCTAGCACACTGAATTCATATTTTCTAGTACATTTATGTACTGTGAGTTTGACTTAATCCACCATTAAGTTTGTTCTTTTCTGGTCTAGTACCCTTAAACACCATTCTTCCCACACTTTCATAGTTTTCTTGGTATTGGTTGGCAAAATCTTTCAACTATTTCAGGTTATAACCTATCTCTCCTTAGTTGAGAATGGTTCTCAAGCTGAGGCTTGCAGGGTAACTCCGGTTATGGAGTCCAGGTGACATGGAGGGCTGGCACAGCTCTTGAGAAATGTCAGTCCACTTTGCAACTTACCTGATTTAATATAAGAAATTATATATGTAAGAGATTTGTGCATTTTTATTATAATTTCACCTATTAGCTGCTTAAGGAGGGCCCAGATACTCTCTGCAGGGTTTGCAGCAAGCATGGGCCTTTCCGGTTTCTGACCTGCTCCTTCTGACCATGTTGCACAAAATTGGCACAAGTGAGTAGGCCAGTCTGAAACAAGATCAGAAATGCTTGATCGGGGAGGTCTCCTTGACATAATCAAAGCTAATCAGATCCACAGTCTACCAGCTGGAGCTTGGGCAGGGCCCACAGGTGCTCACTGCCAGTGAAGAATTTGTGTGTAAAACCCCAGTTAATAGGTTGACTTATTCCCCACCTCCCGGAACTAATACATTTTTATTCAATCTTCTTTTTACTAAAGGTCTCAACCTACGTATTTACCATTGCTTTTTCATTGCATTAACAAATTTTATTTATGTCTCAATGCCATGGGTAGAACTGGAGTTGGTGATGCAAAATAAACCAGAACAGGGGAGATACCAAGGTCACCAAGTTGGTTTTCCCCAGTGAGGATCATCCATTGCTCTCCGGATGTGCTGACCCCTGCAGTTTCCCCAAATGTTGGAAACTCACTGCATAATTTGTGGTAGCAGGGGATTGTGTTTGCACTCTAGACTGAAATGAAAACTAACAAACAAACCAAAATAAGCCAGAAGGAGAAATACAAACACTGGATGATTTCACTCATATGGACTATAGAGAAGCAAAACAAAGGGTCAGACAAAACCAAGCCACAAAAACCCCAGAGCTCCCAGAGGTGGGGTGGAGTGAGCCAAGTATGGAGGGTGCAATAGACTTTGGTGAAAAACTATGGGTGCCTCGGTGGTAGCTGTGTTGTGTATCTGAAGAGGTGTGAACCTATATCTCTGAATCATATGCTGTGTTATAAATAAACTTTACCTCGATAAAAAAGCAATACAATTAAAAAACAAGGGCCTCCCTGGTGGCAGAAGGGGTTAAGTCTCAGCACAATCAAACTATCAGCAGCCACCACAGCACGAGTTCAATCCTGGCCAGGGAGCTGACCCACATGGTGCAGCAGACCTCTCCTGTCTCGCCTGCTGCTCCCCTCAGCAGAGTATTTCAGTAGATCCACCGGCTCTGCTCCCCACTCTGTCTCTGGTGAATCCTCTCACCTCCCCACCACCATGCACCTCTGGCTTACACCCCAGCTCTTGTATGCATAATAAATAAAATAAATCTTAAAAAGAAAACCTTAAACACTTCAGCAACACAAAATGGGAGAAAGAAAATAGGTGAGAAAAAATTGGCACCATCTTGAAAATTATTGAATCTGGAATGAATATTTGGTGTTTATACTATTTCCTTTTGTTTATGATAACTTTTTACATTAAAATTTTATAAAAGTAAATGTTTTATATAGTGGGTATATAGTGGGTAAAAGGGCATCATACTTTTACATGGTTTAAAAAAATAATATATATGCATGCGTATGTAAATATATTCATACATGTATGAATATATACATATGTAATCATATACATCTGTGTGTGTAACACACTTACCTGTATCCATCTATTGATGAAGCTCATGGTAAAACGTTTACAGCTGTTCTTACAACTCTTCTACAAGTGTGAAATTATTTCAAAATAAATATTGCAAAAGCAAATACTAAATGGATCAGAATAAAAGACTTCCACTCTATATTTTTCCTTCAAACACATTTGTATAATTTGAATGATAGCACTTAATAATTGTAATAGAAAAAACAGCCTACAAATTAGAATTTTTATTTCTAAATTATGTGGTATGATATGGTTATGGGAGCAGTACCAAAATAATTTAAATGAGATGTGGCAAAACTAGAGCAAAAATTAATTATCCTTTCTTTCAGAAAAGGTGCTTTGCAAGCTAATTAAGCATTCAAACTCTTTAAATGCATATTTGTAAAGATATTAACATGAATCTGCATTAAATTATTGTTCAACTCAATATAATTATTCAGTGAAAGTCTGAAGATCTCAATATATTAATTCTCTTATTGATTTGCACAATCAATTTGTATCAACATATATGCTAATAGTGGTGGGTCTTGTAGGGTTCATTGACTTTTATTAAGCACTTCCAATTTGCTAAGTGCTACATACATGATAAGAGACATTTGCTGTTTATTTTCAAGGTGCTTTTCTAAGACTGAATAATAAAGACAGCTTGTGCAGAGCTGGCACTGTGCCAGGTCTTAATAAGGCATCCACCCCTCTCCTCCTCCTTCCAGATGGGGAGGAAAGGGCACATCACAAAACCAAACCGCTTGGGGACGTGGGGATTGCGCAGGTGAGCCAGGGTGCGCCTCCCCTTGCACGCAGCTTCCTCAGCTGTCATTTCTTCTTCAGGAAAGTCATTTATTTGGGGCTGTGCAGTCATTTAGAGGACACCTATCTGTGACTCACCTCTGGATGACTTTGCAAAAGAAAGGAACTCTGGAAATGATGCAGGCTGAATTTGGCCTCAGCCAAAACTGTGTGGCAGATGGCAGCTTTGGGAGGCAAGTGGCCAGGCTGTGCTCAGTTTGAATGGTAACCTGGATGGCAAGAAGAGCTGTGGACCTCTGAGGAATTTCCATTTCTTGCTCATGGTCACCTTCGTCCAATCTCCTACCAAGGGTTTTCCCTGAGTAGTGTCAGTTCATAGTTACCTTTCTTTCATCAGCTCCCAAAGGTTTAGCCATGCACTTTATACCTTCTTTCAAACTCTACCTTTACCTGAATTCAATTCTTTCTTGTGTTACTGAAGGGTATCTCCCTCAGTGCTCAATCAGGCAATAAAATCTCCTTCTTCCTCCTACCATTCAAGAATAGGAGGTTTAGAGTTCAGCAGGTCATTGTTCAATTCCAAATTCTTCCTTTTTCTCAGTTTCTAAGAACTTGGACAAGTATTTAAACTCTTGCAGCCTGAATCTCTACCCCTGTAAGATGAAAATGATAATACCAATAACAACTATTTAACCTGTACCTATCCTCTTATGTTTTGCCCTTGGGATTAAAACATGGAGTATTGAGAGATTTCACTGACCTTAATTTATCTTTCAGAAGATGGGAGATAAGCAATGTGTGGTCCTAGTCTATGCTGAGATGAAAACTTTAAGTATCATATAGATATGTTCCTACTAATTGGACCCATTTTCTTCACAGCCATTCTTATGTTTTGTTTTACTGTGTCATAGACATTCTCCAAATAATTGCAACCAAAATAGGAAGCTACCTCTCCAGAGTTTTTGAAATACAGCTTTGTGCTTTGGATGGACAGGTCAGCCAGTTATCTCAGTTTCATAAATCAGTGGGACTGGAGAGAGTGGCACTGAGTTCTAGCAAATGGCCATAAAATACTACAGACAGCAAAGATTCAGGAAAAGGAACAAATACTTGTGACAACAAGACAAAAGTTAAGAAAACGTGTGTTCATTAAAAGCTATTCTACTTTGAGGAAATCCAATGCCATTCAGATTGAGTATTACGTAACACATATGATTTATGGCTCCTCTAGATGTTTGGCGAACCTAGTTAAATTACACTAGCACATTTACTTCTGCAGTTACTGAGAAGTTGAATCTGTATCTGAAATGTCTGTCATTTCCCTGCACCAACTCCAATCGTGGATGCTAGCTACCATCCTTGGGCTACAAAGATGTCCTTAGAAGCTAGTGATAGCTCCAGACTGTGAGTGCTTTCAAGAAGGCCAGTGTACTCGGCTTTCCCTTTTTATTTCCCTTCTGTTGATTTTTACAGGGAGGTAGTGGGTGGTTATGGGTCCTTTATGTGTTCCTCAACCCAATTAGAGTTGAGGGCATTTATAGAAAATAGAAAGCAAATCAGAACAAGCTGCATGAACAAGTAATTTCTGGGAAAATTTCAGGTCTACATTTGATCCAATTATAATTTGAAGTCATATTCTCCCACACAGGGTTGAAATTTATAAACTCTGTTATTCCTTTGAAGGTAGGAATCTGGGCTTGTAGGATCCAGGGGAGGGTTTCATAATATAATAAAAGTTCCCAGGAGTGTTTACATAAGCAAATATGAAGTAGCATCACCAGGAAATGCTAACAAAATAACCTGCTTCCCTCATTTCCCTTTAGGCCACTGACTGACTCACCTCTACCATGTGGGGGGTAGGCCAGGGCAGGTTGGTCAGGAGCCTTTGTATTCTCGCTGGTGAAAGACTCTTCCACATGTCTGAGTGGCTGAGCAGTTATTAGATATTCAGACGGATCATTATCCATCTCACTGCTTAGATTGTGTAGCTAGAGGCAAAACTTCTGAGCAGTTTCCTCTTTGCAGTTTTCTCAACCTTACTGAGGCTTTCGCATCAAAATGCAAACTTCAGAAAATCAAACAGAGCAGGATTTACATGTTGTGGAATCAAGACTCTGTGTTCCTGTTTTATTTACTTCACTCAAAGGACTTTGACGAGGAATGTTTTGATGACTATCTCTCTGAGCAGTTGGAGCAGTGGTATAAATGATTGTTCTACAGCTTTAAAGGAAATTCTGTCATACCAACTCACACATTCCTTCTACCCAGCTCTAATTACATAAATTGTTATATAAACAGACTTCTGTTACACCAAAGTCTACTTCACTTGGGAACTCAAATTTTTCTGAGTTCATATGCCAGTAGGCTAAAAGAAACATCTTTTAATGTTACCAAGGAACATTTTCTGCCATCAGGATGTGAGCTGAAAGGTAGTCATCAATCAGGCTCCTTTGCCTTCATGTTCCAAGGAATAGAGAGAAAAAACCCAGAAGAGAAATCATGCCACAGCCTCAGCTAAATGCTTAACAGAACTCTCTATCTTGCTTAAATTAATTTCTTTCCCCAGTGTATACACTCTGTCAGTGTCTCCTCTTTAATTGTGACAATGTCAATAAAAGGTTTTCCTCTGTAGTTTTATTTGATCTTCATAAGACAGTCATGAAGTAGGTAAGGGAGAAACTGTGGTCTTCCTTTAGAAAAAGACTCATGTCAAAGCCACTAAGTGAACAATAATTCATTCATTCACACATGCTTGCCTGAAGCAGGTATTTCAGATTGCCTACTATGTGCCAGACACTGTGTTTCTTCATCTATATAATGTAACAAAAAACAGGCCTGGATATTGCCTTTTAAAAATCTTATAATCTAGTCAGGCAGCAAACACTAATAAATTAATAATGACTTGATGGTTACAAACCATGGTAAGATTATAATTTGAAAACATAAGAATTATAAGAGTATACAGCAGAAGTTCTAGAAGGATCCTTGCAGGAAATGAATTTGGGATAAGTCTGAATAACACATATCACTTTTCTAGGGTAGAGCTGGTAAAAGGAATACATGAGCTGGAGAAAGTATGTTATGTTTGGTGATCCTAAAAAAGACCAGCTTGACAGGAACTCAGGAAAGAGGGATACAGTGAGATGAGAAATGAGACAGAGACAAAGATAAGATTGAGAAAAGCTTCATCCCCTGCCCCTCCTTTCTAAGAGCAATGTGAGAATTTATTTTATTTGAAAAAGACACACAATCAGATTTATACTTTAAAAAAATAAGTTACTATCATGTCAATGATCAGCAGGATGAATCAGTATGTGGAAGAGACCAAGTTACCTGACATTCTGCA